AAACTGTAGTTTTTTCACCTCATTAATTTGCCAAATTATTTCTAAATGATTTCAGAGAGGTATTTTAGAGCAAGACTTAAAAAAAATCAGTGTTCGTGCACTTTCAGGAAAGTGGATAAAACTGCAAAATTATAGTTAGTCCTGGCACATTCACAGTTAGCATGGAGGGATTCTGCTTTATTTAAAAATCAACATTTAAGTGAAATGGCTGAAATTAATGTGTCTCACTACTGAAGTCACTTAAGCCGGGAATTTAATAGATGCTACCTTACATCTCAACTCTTTTTTGCAAACCTAAGAGTCGAACTGTGGTTCTCAATACTGCACAAAGTTATCTATTGTATATTCACTTCCAAGTAATTCCGCATTTCATCATTTTTTGGGAAGTAGAGATTTGGTCGTTGGGAAAAAAGACTTTCAAAAAAGGCTCATAAAGTAGACAGGTAATCGTACAGCATGTACAGAGATGAAGTGTCTAACAGCTCTTCTACTGTGTCTGCTTTCTTAAGAGCTAAATAAACAAAAGCGATGTATAATAACCACTGTCTAGACATTCACTTTTCCATTTAAAAATAAGTATTTGGCAGAAATCTGGAATAAAGGGCAGGGAGGAGAAAGGGCTCTGCATCTACACAGGTAATTTCCTTTAAGAATTTGTAATTGTTATTCTGAGATTTAGTCCTGGTTTTCCTTTCTCTTGAAAAGAAATTTACATGCAAATGCTAGCAAGCAAGAAAAGAGAATTGAAGAGTAGTGGTGAAGATTTTGAACTCTCAATTAAAAGATTGAGAAATGAGAGAACTTTTTTTTGAAAATAGTTGAAGATGTCTTTGGATGGAGTACACATTTTCAAGGAGTGTTGAAATCTGTTGATAGTAAATGGGATGTGAGACTGATTTTTCACATTGAAAATTAAATCATGAATCTTAATCACAGTGATTTGTCACAAGTGTGCTGTGTGCTTACATTTTCCTATAGCACCTTACCACTGCAAATGTGGAGTTGCTTACCTAAAGCATGGTAGTTAAAAAAAAAAAAAAAAAAAAAAAAGGTGTGTGTGGGGGGGTCAAATGAGTACACCTTTTCAAAAACACTTGAATTATTCTTTGTCTACTTTAATATAATGTTTTGGTAATAAAAGCACACCTTAATGTATCTTTTTTTAAGTCAGGTTGTTTGGTGCTTATGTACTGTGCCTTAGACTGATTCTTACCTTATGTTCCAAGGTGTATGTTGAGAAGCTGGAGAAAACATTCAAATTACAGCAGTCATCTTTAATGGTCTGCTGTTGAACTAGGTCAGGAAACTCATTTATTTGGAAGATTCACTTCTGTCACTGCATCTTTAGAGCACCTAATAATACAGAATTCACAATAGGCCACATCAAGCTTTTGTCAAAAGTGCTCTTGTTGTATATATCTTTGGCTGCATATGGTGTTTTCTATCTCTCCTACCTACAGCCATTCTGCCATAGCTGCTGTATTTTAAGATGGAGTGAATGAAACAGTATCTGTACTTGTAACTTCAGGCAGTCAAGTACAAATAGATAAGTAAAATCCCAATGATTATTTCTTCAAAGATGATGTTGCAAATGGTGAACATAGTAGTTCAGTTCTGCAGCTGAACATTAATGTCTCAAACTGCTGCAAGTGAATCTGGGGTTCATTTTTCTGAGAGCTTGAGAACATTGGTGACATGCTTTCTAGTGTGTCTGTGTCACTGTGTTAGCTAGCATAAACAGCTAGAGGTTATGACTACATGCTGAAAGTGTTCTGTAGAAGAGTATTTAAAGTCACTGAGTTAGCGTCCTAACTGCTCATCCATACCTGAGAAAAAATTACTCATCTCCATGGGAGATACATATTTAATACATGGAGTTTAATGATGTAAATTGCTTTGTCATACTGATTTAGTTATCATAAATGAATGGATTAGCACTTGCAAGTTAGTGACAGGGTTGAATGCCTCATGTCTGTTTTTTTTTTTTTTTTTTTTTTTTTTTTTTTTTTTTTTAAGTCTTTGCTTAAAGTTCATTATCTTCAAACTAACCTGCTTCTTTCTAATGCTTCCTACCAAATTATCATTTCATCTGATGTAATGGGGGAGGGAAACACCTTGGTGATGCCGTTACATTTACTCTAGCTCTGATATGGAAGTGATATATGTTAAGCACTGAACTACAAATGTTCTTGCTAGGGGATCTATTCGTTCTTGTACATAAGTTCCATTAAGTTTACAGCAAAACAGCATTGCTAAATAACTACAGAGCAGATGTGACAATCTCAGGATTTTATGACCAGTTTCACTGATACTGTTTGAGCTGCTGAGTCAAGCGGCAAACGCTTTTAGATGTTTGTGCATTTAACAATATTTGCTGTGTTTTTGTTTTCTTCTTGTTTGTTTGTTTTTTCTTTTCCCAGCCAGCTGAAGCAATGTAGGTGAATTCACCTGGTGGTGCAATACTCTTGGTGTGATTAGCTGGTATTTACAGTGACAAGTGCTGATATGTGAAATAAAAGCAATTAGCAACTTCAAAGTGTGCCAATTGCTGTGAGATTTCCCCTTACTGGTGATTTTATTTTTTTTTCTGTGTAGGATAGGGGAATAAGCATTTGAAAGATGAGTTGGTTGTTTGTTTTGGTTTTAGTTATTCTTTTTCCCAGGTAGAGTTTTACAAAGACGAATGCATTCTAAATATGAAGGCTTTTTACCATTTAGAAATGATGAGCTCTTGTAGCACTGCTGCATATTTTCCAGGCAGACTCCAAATTATGTTTCAGCTGGAATCTAATTTGCTGCAAAATCTTACTTGTTTTGATTGCCTCTGTTGTTTAAAACATTAAAAAAAAAAACAAAAACCTGTGAGTTCTGGTACTTGAACATAGTTGCAATGTTGAGTTGCGTTTTAAATTTATACTTTCATAGCATTTGTCATTTGAAGATCTTAAGAAAGAAGAACTTTAGTTTAGCAATAAGAACAGTAATGTTGGTGTATTTGAATATTCTTAGGAAAGAACCTGCACTTGCCTGCTTTTAGAAGATAGGCACACAGAGATTGTTATAAAACCTAACTCTTCAAATAGGAGGAAGGCTTTTGTGAAAGTGACAGCTTAAGTGAAACTGTGATTATATCATGGAAGGTGCAGCATGGTGCTCTGACTTTGGCTCTTGTTATGAGATAAAATGTTTGAAATACTTATTTATTGGGAAGTATTTAAAAGAAATGAAATTATGTGTTTACATATACACATTTACAGGTTTCAGTAAATGTATTTCATAGTATTAAGTAACCATAATATTAAATCGGCTTGTAATTGTAAAACTGAAATGGGAAATACAAGCTAAGTAGTTTCTCTTGTATAGTTTTTATAATCTAGATTTTTTATTGTTTGAAAGTGTCAGGAATGTTTGCCTTCCTGTTAATTTCCACAGGCTATGTTACTGCATTCGTTTTATTCATAACCTTCAGTTAAATTGTTTAATAGGTTCTCTGCTATTGCATAGGACCACAGTAAATTAGATTCTGCTCAGCTGTGTGCAGTAAATTAGGTTTTTAGGCAAGTTGTTTTCTTTTGTCACCAAAACTGTTCTGTGTGCTTTCCTGCCCAGTGAAAAGATTTTTTGTTTGTTTGTAAGTAGAAAAACTTACTTAGGGTTACCTATTGAACTAATTAGTGACTTAGTGATTTAAATGTTGATTATAGAAGCTGTGTTTTTGAGCAAATTGAGAGACTGTATCACAGTGATTGCACTATGGCACTTAGGATTATTCTAAGCTAGGTCGTAAACGCTTGTTCATGAATAGTCAATTTATGGTGTATGTTATTTACAGAGTACAATGTGACAGGCTGTTTGACAATAAAAATTCTTGTGCTTCTTGCTTAACACTGCTCCTGGATATTCACTGTTATGAGAAAAATTCCATGGCAAATTTATAATAATCTCTGAAGCTTTAATTGGCATAGAAAAGTACAAAGCAACTAAAACTTTCCATAAATTGATATTTGTATCAGCGACGCTCTTTCTGAGAATTAAGAAGTGACATGGAATTAATTTGCCTCTTTTTGTTGCCTAATTAATTCTTAAGTTACATTTTTTCTTAAGGATTTACAGTAATAGATGAAATACAGCACTTTAGATTAAAAAGGTGAATGTAAAATTTATTATAAACATGTCTAATTCATATACAGTAATGTTTTGTTAATTTGGTTGTTACTGAAGACTGATTTTCATGTTGTGAAGTAGAAAAGGAATTATATTAGAGTAGCTGCAATGCCAACAAACAGTAAATGTTGAAATCCAATTTCTTGCTATTCTCATGAACCTGTCAACATGAAATGACACACGATCTTGCTGCTTGCCCATAATTTTGACAATTTCAGTTATTGCTTAGTCAAAGTGGTAGCTTCACAAAATGAGACTTTAGGCAGACGACATCACTATTGCACAGGCTTAAGGATGCTAACAGCATTATGTGATGTTTTTTCCTTCTTGTCTGTTGTCTTTTCTGGTGGTTACTTTTCTGCCAGTCCTGGTTTAGGAGCTAGAGTGCACCTGAACATCCTCATGCCAGATCCAGCAGTCTAACTTCTTTGGCCTCCATCTGCAGTTTGCGCAGAATAACAGATGCCTGCATCCCTGTCCAATGGTTCTGCTGTGGGGTTCATAATTGCTGACCAACGAGCAGTAATAATTAGCTCTGGGTCAGTTTGGTTGCAGCTTTTTGGAGGAGTATCTGTCACATCCCCTCAGGTATGTGTAGAATACCATCTTGTGCTTCTACACACATAGTTACAGTGGTGGTAATGAAATCCAACAAAAGCCATTATACTGCACAGAGAGTGATTAGCTAGTAAGGTACTGAAGGGAAGGCTAAGTTTTGAACTTTGTCCAACTTCGATGCTTGATTTCAGTTAGATCAAGATTTTGGTGCCTGTGAAGGAGTGATGATATTTCCACCCCCCAGTATGCATTTATGTAGTTGGTTCTGGTGTTTTTGCAGTCCGAAAAAATGCATCAGCTTGCTTGTCGGGCTGAAAACCTTTTTTTTTTTTAAATTATTTTTTTAGCTCTTTCTTGGAGTATGGGTAAATAGGCTGTTTTGTTTGTTTGTCACCCAGCTGCTAATACCTACACAAAGCATAATGCAGGAAGAAAAAAAGCATATGCAGTAGGAAACTGAGGAGTGCAGTAAGTTTTTTCAGCTGGTGACAGTACATTTTCAGGCAAAAGTAACTTCTTCACAGCTTTTCTGCACACTGAAGTAAGGTGCCTGTCTTTCAACAGGCTTTATGATCAGCCCTCAAGTCCATCCTAGCCATTTCTCCCCAGTAAAATTCAGAGAAGTGAGAAATCAGGGTTTCTATCAAGAATTTCCACTTCAGGTAGAGTTCTCATCAACAAGCTGTTGTCATGTTTCTGTTCTGTCCTGTCACATCTTCCTCTTCAGTCTTTTAAGTTGTTAATTCTTTAATATACATTTTCCATCTTCAAAATGGGTAAGTGCAGAACCTCTGTGCAACAGATATTTTTTTAATGCCTTTCTCTTGATTAAAATATGAATTTGACTTTCCCATAAGGAGGTTATATGACTCGAAATGTCATATTTCAAAGCAACTGAGGTTTCACAGTGCTCTTGTGAAAATGTGAGTACTGTGAATTCTTGACTATGTAATTGAAAATCACCGTGTTTTATGCTTTGTGTAAATACTACCCTGTTTTTGGCTGACTGGTATATTTGAACTCTTTGGGGTGGGGGTGGGGAAGGAGTCTATCACAGGGCTGTCTGGTTACTGAATCATGAAGACGTTTAGACCTGAGATAAGTGCCTGTTTGCTCAGCTGAGCTAAGGTATCTCCAATTGCATTCAAAAATAGATCTACAACTCTAACTTAATTTGAAAAATCAAGTCTTTCAGAGTTGAGAATAGAAATTCAATCTTGCATAAAGTTTTATAACAATGATGTAGTGTGTCGTTGTGATAATGTAAGTGCTAATGCCAGATAAATATTCCGTCATTTCAAATTGCTATTGACTAGCCATGCTGGTGGAACCTTTCCCTTTGTACAATCACAAATGGGATGGAGAATGTATGGGAATCTCAGAGATGGTTCCCAACATGCTCTTTTCATAACTAGAGCTGTTATGAGCTCTGTACATCACTCTCCAGTGATGAATGGACTTGAGTTCTGCTGTGGGTTGGTGGCTCAGGCTATAGAGCTGCCACAGGAGTGGAAGCTTGAGAGCAGCATACTGAGCTGTAGAGTTTATTTGCTGCCCAGTATCATTTCCGTTCCCAGGAAACAATGCCAACCTCAGTGACAAGTTTTTCATCAGTAATTTTGATCAAGCAGCCTAAGCAATCTTTAAATAGAAATTGAAGGTAATCACCTAAGCTATCATTAAAAGGTACATCTCAATCAGCAGAGCCTGCTAGCTGATTGTCACTTGAAGTCTCGCAATTAACAAAATGACTGGTGTTTTTGACCAAATAGCTGAATGTGGCTTGATTAATAGTGCTGTCTCAAGAATGGCCTTTTTCAGTATTTATTACCATCAGAACTGTCAATCCTGCATACTGTGTTACATTGAAGAGACTTTGTGATAGATATAGGTGAGTGGTTGTATGTAAAATAGGCTTTAGCTGGCCTTTGGAGATTTAAGTAACAAAGTTCAAGTGCTTGAATTTTTTCATGTGCTTCATTTGTTGATATAGTATTAAATCAAAAATAAAATTAATTCATCTGTGGCTCAAGAGACTTTGAATTTGAAATTAATGGGCACTAGCTAAAGCTGGAGCAGTGAGTAAAGAGAAAAATATTATTTGTTTTGATTTGCAGCAGTACCTAATTTATTACATGTGAACGAGCATCACACTGCTGTGAGCTGGGACTTTCTGAATAATGTTTCGAGTGTACAATTAGTGATCTAACTTCTCTCTGTTTGTTTTTTTTTTTTGTTTGTTTGTTTGTTTTTGTCTCCTTTTGTGTAAGCACATTACAATTTCAGGGTTTTGTGTTGTTGTTTTTTTTTTTTTTAAACCTGCCTGAATTCCACCTTCTCTGTTTTACCCCATAAGTACTTAAAGTTCTGTAGATACTGGTCGCTTGCATAGGATCCCAATTCTGTGTTTCAAACAAGGTGTGAAGCTCTGCAGCCTGACTCTGCAGTGGGATCAGCTCCTACTCAAGTTGCTGTCCAGTGTAGTATTTATATGCAGTTTTCTTTGAAAATATTTATTTGCTGTGCATAAACTACAAAGTAATGGAGTACAAATGAGTTCTTACCTGAAGATGTGATGTTCAAGCTGCTATGCTAAGGCCCACTTTGAGTATTTTTGCAGATGGCTGAAATTGGCCTCGAGTACAGATTTGTCAGCAAAATGTATGCATAGGCCAGTTTTTAATCCAGTGAAGTGTGCGGTTATATTCATTCATAAACTGAGGCTGAACACTGTTTAGTCTGAGGTCTCTGCAAAATAGGGTGTATTTCCAGCCTTTTCTAAGTGGATCTTGAACGTATGTTCTGAATATTTAAGTGAAAATTGGACATAGTCAATTAAAAGAATAAAAATAAATACTTGCAGGATATTAATATGCTAGATGTTTAACTTGAGCTTTCATCACATGTACAAGTGTAGTTGACAACAAGTAAAATTGCAGAAGGACACAGGGATGAGTTGAATAGAGTCTTAAATCTTCCAGCAAAGGGATTTTGTTTAGAGAGAAAGAGGACCCGCAGTTGCTATGAAGTCTGTGAAAGACTCTGCAATACCTTTTGATTTCATGTGAAAGTAATGAACATTTCATGCACATATTTAGTAGATGAAAGGATGGTGTCTTCACTTCTTCGAACATTCTGTTCTCCCATCAAACTAAAACACTTTTCATTGTTTTCCATTTCAGAAAAATAAGTGAGAACCAGGGCTACATTTTACACAGATGGGTGGATGCAGAAATAAAGTTATGTATAATAGTAAAGGTCTGTATTTACAGCTGTGACATAGTCATGACTCAGAACTTGAGTATGTATTTTAGGTGTAAATTTATTATTCAGTGAATTAGTAATGTAACACCATTACTCCACGTCTCAGTCTATTTACTGAATTCATATTGCCATCAAATGGTTGTTGTGCATATATAGGTTAAGAAAAACATATGCCTTTAACAAATAGGTGATAATAAAAGTGGTTTAAATAAGGACACAAAGGGCTGAATGTAGGAAAAGTGTGTGATTCTGATCTATGTGACAACTGGAAAATAAATACTACTTTGAAAGTGAAAGATGTACTCTTTAAATTTAAACTGTGATAGTAACTAAATTGCCTGCTGTAGAGCAGAAAATAGGTATGGCATTAGGGTTTTCTGGGTTTAGTCTTTACTTCACATCTTGTGACCTCAGTTTGATCCTCTATGAGGATAGCTTTGTCATAAACAAAGCTAGAAAAATATTAAATACAAACTTCCATTGTGAGTCACGCTGTCACATGTTATAATACTGATGTCTAAAAAATCTCCAAAAATTGTAAGAGTACTTATGAACAAAATCTTCCAGTAAAGCTAGCTATAGAGCTGCAATTATCTTCTTGTTTGAAATGTATCAAGCCAAAGAAGCTTACGTGAGTCTGTCAGTTCTGACAGCTTCCTGGAGAAACTTGTAACACAGCTTGCTTCTTTGCTATGTACAGATACAGGAGGTTAAACTAACAACTCTATGTCAAAAGCCCAAAGCCTTTGAAAATGACTACATTTTAAAACTACTTACAATAGATTTCCTGAGAAACTGAAATCAGGAAACTTTTGGGATAGACAGTTTCCTCTTTTGACTATCACATCATCGTTCTTTTTAGCTCCCACAGCTACACAATGCAACACAACATCCAAAAAGGTAAGCAATGTAAGAATCTGAAGTATTTGTATTTATTTCATCATTTGCACTGTAATAGATAAATTGTGAAAACAAAAACACAACAGCTTCATTTGTAAAATACTAGGACAAAAGGCAAAATCAGGACTTCTGAACAAGAGATCCTTTCAAGAACCACCTACTGCTTTGAACCCTTGGTTGCTTTTCTTTTGAGGAGGATGTATTTTAAGTTTTCTTGTAACTTTATTTATCAAAAACTTTTTTTTAATATCAAATATCAGCCACAGCTTGTTAAACAAGTAGTATAATGCTCTCTTTCCCTAAGGAGGAGGAAAAGTAGCAGGCTGGAGGGGAAAAAAGGCACTGGCAGAAGCAGTGAGTTATGCAGAGACAGGTGGTGATCTAGACTTAACTGTCTTTTACTTAGTCTCTTGCTTCACTGGAGTACAAACATCTTAAATTCCTCTAGGTGCTGGTTTGATGAGCTATAGCTGTCCTTGCCCTTTGCCATTTACATTTGCATGTTGTGATGTACAGTTGTTAAAGCTACATATATGCAGACAGCTCTGATTACTTCAACTGGATAGCCTGTGCTAGCCTATTATGTTATATTTGAGATAATAAACATGGATTAGCACATGTTAACAGCTGGAGTTAGGCAAACAAAAAACAACAGGAATTAGATGTTTCAGATATTTTTTTAAATAAAACAACTTTTATTCAAAGAGAAAACATTGTTTTAATAATAACATCTAGATGATTTCTTATGCATTTCAAGTATTCAGACTTCAGGAGAAATTACTTTTTAAATGGATGAACCACTGATCAGGACAAAACATTTTAGCTTGTATACATTTCCTTAGTTTAAGCAGGACAGAATACACATTTCATTAAAGAATGGTAAATACACCTTATAAATTACTCCTGCACTGTCCAGGTTAAATTTCCATATTGCTTATGCATTTACTTATTTTCACACGCAGCATGTTCTAGAAATAAGGAAATACAAAAGAAAGTAACTGCAGTAACTAATAAAAACAGTTAATCCTTTAAAGCTAGTGTATGTTATATGTAAACAAATACTCATTTACTTCTTGTCTCATGGGTAAGATTTAAAAAGAGACAGCCTGTTATCTTTGAAGTGTCAAAGTCTGAAAAAGTCATTCAAGTTCTAGCTTCGCATTTGTTAAAGGCAAATGATCAAAAGTAGTTGTATTTTTCATGTTTAGCTGATCCATTGAAGATTTATCCTTGTGCAAGACACCCAACCACATGTAAAAATAATCACCTTCTCATAGTAATGAATTGTAAATTAAGACAGTTCTAAAGATTTAGATGTATAAGACAAACTAGCTTAGAACAGTGATGTACCATCGTAGCAATAAGTATTATTGGTGTCTTTTATATAAAAAGTTTTAACCATGTGAAGTAGCTTGTTTTGTTCTCAGGTAGGGTTCAGTACCCCACTTTAAGTAACAGGCTTCATGAAAGATGTATATAAGTTGGAAAGAATCCACCAAACAACATAAAAATTATACTTTCCACAGCCTGATTTTTTTTTTTTTTAAAGGAAGATTACCCTCACATAAGGAAACATTTAAAGGTCTTGAAATGTGGCATAGGCTACTGAAAAGAGAAAGAAGAAAGTCTCCTCTGAAGTTGAAGGCAAAGACAAAAATTAATTGGTTTCACTCACAGCATGGCATTGAGGCTTTAAACTGGACTGTAGTTCCACAGATTTCTCAGGAAAATTAAGTTTTCTTTAATTCCAAGTACCATCTTCCCTGCCACTCCTTCCATCCAAAAAAGCTCAAAGAAAAGCAATATTGAGTGGTAAACCATTTACAAGTTTTCAGTTCTGTTTTACCACCAAAGTGGAATGATGTGGAATGGTTTTATTACACATTTAATGTGGATTAGGGAAGAAGATTAAATAGCAACCAAAATCAAATATTAAGATCCAGATTTATAACATAATTAAGAAAACTGCAGAGTCATGTTATTAACTGTGGGGCAGTGTGTGTCTGTTTTCCAAATCTAGCAAGGTCATTCAGCTATAGTAGAATTTAAAATGTACAGTCTGTTGTTGTTTCTTTTCAAGCTCTGAAGAAATAAAGCATGAAGCTATATTGAAGAAGGCAGTAAATTTTATTCATTAAGTTCCTGTTTACATTTATAAGACTCTACCAATTTCAAGTACAAATTCAGATTAAGTTATCCATTCCATAATGCATATCAGCTTGAAAATTTGCAGTGCTGACAGTGCAGTGACATTTACATGAAAAATAGAAAGCAGTTTAATTATTTGACTGAAAATATAATAGTGTGTCACAATATATTGCAAGTTAGTATGCAGCATACAAGCAGTAATTAATGTTATAGGACTCTTTAAAATTGGGACAGAGTAATCTGTAGTTTTTACTTACTTAGTTATGGGAGCAATTTGACTAATCAATCAGTGAAAAGGAAAAACAGAAGTAACAGCAAAACAGAAATGACCAATGAGAGTTGTACTTATCTATTTCTCAGGATGTCTTAAATAACTATAACATCAAGGAGTAGACTGTGTAACTGGCTTATTTTCTGCCCACTGAAAAAAGCCACATTGTTTTTCCTTTCTTAATGGACACACAAAAAAGTTCTTTCCATTATTGGGACCAAGCTTCAGCACCATCTTCATAACGCATCGCTTGCCATGGTGACAAAATGGAAAATTCAAGTCAGCCCACTGTCAAAAGAAATAATTTTTAGGTATGGTTCTATCATATATGTTGGCTCTGAGCTCATTATTTTAAAATTAAAAGTGGAGGTGGATCTACAAGAGAGGCCTTAACAGAAACTTGCTACTAAGAATAGTCTGATCTCTCTAGTGACAACTGTATACACTTTAATTGGTGTTAAATATTATAACTAGGCTTTGTAAGTTTAATTGATGTTAACGCACAGTTTTCTACAAATTAAGGCATCATAGTCATTATTGACTTAAATTCATATATTCTTTCTGTTGTTAGGTGACCTAAACTCTTCCCAGTCATGTATGTTTACACAGTGTGACGCTGAGACCACAGGTTGCAGCCATGAAGGCTGAGTTGCAAGCAGTGCAGCTGTGAAAGCAACAGTCCAGACAGACTACGGGATGTGTGCCCTCAGAGGTTTTCAAGATTTTGTCTTGACAGAGACATAGCTGATGTCCAGATCTAAAGTTTCAGCACTCCTTCTTCAACCCAGAGGCTCAAGATAACTGAGCTGTACAAGTCCCTCCAAATCAATAATTCTACTATGCATCTGCCTTACATGACGCTGAAGCAGATTAAGAGCATTTGCACAAGCAGGTATGTTCTCAGATGTAAGAGAAGTAACTGAAACAATAAACTTACAGTCATGATTACGCTCTTAGTTTCAATTCAGTGTGAACAGATATGATTCACTAAAAGCAAGAGAATTTTAAACACTTGTGCACAGTTATAGATGATTGGGGTAAGGTGGCTGCATGAAAAAGTGACTGAATTAAGGAAAAAGTGGGAAACATTACAGGCTGTAAAGTCTTATACTTACTTGAAAATAATTGCACCGAGTTTCTGTGGGTAGAGGACAGCTATAAAACATTCTGCCCTTGTTTTCTCCATCCTTCCTCACAATTCTGAGTTTGCAAAGATGACCATGTTTACTGCAATGAGGAGGGCCTGTGCTCAGTGTATGAATATCATCTGTTGAATTAACTTGAGGTTTGCTGTAACAACAGTTAACAAAATGACTTGTGCATAATGTTAAAGGGATTACCAACACCACACTCTCCTATTGTTGTTATTACATGCTCAGTGCACATCTGCATATAATGACAAAGAACTTGCTTCTCTAATGGAACTTATTGCTCCTTTAAAGCTGAATGATAACATGGAGTGAATAAACTCATCTAGAAAGTATCGTATCAGCTTTGCCCAGTATTAGTCTTGGTTTTAAGCTATTTCAATGTATTCCTAAATTCAGTTTAATTAAAAAACCAAAAATCATATTACCTATGTTATACCACCCACCCTAAATCCCACCACATTTTAAAAAAATATTCTGCTTTTGGTAGGAAAAAGATCAATACCAAGTAATTAGTAAAAAAAAAAAAAAGTTGAAGGTATTTGTATACTTCCCAGAATTTTCCTATTCTCTTTACTAAAAAATTACTGTAATGCTTGTATTCTGACAAGAAGTAATCTGGCTAAGGGGAGGGAACAGTACTGTCTGGTTTCTCTCTCTTGATTGAGGTACAGATTATGTGAATGCAATACACAAGGTTTTATTTAGAAATGGTAACATGAAGAATATTTATGCTCTTTGAAATATTTATAATATATTTATAAGTCCAATTTATAGAGCAGAATAGCAGTGATGAAGCCACACGGAAAGCTGAAAAGATCAATTAGTTATTTCCATTCTTGTAAAGTTTTCAGCTTAGGAAATTTGTCTGGAAGATTATAGTCTTGTAGGCATCAAAGTTTTATTCCAATACCTCATTAAAACATTCTCCCTATGCTTCATCAGGAAAAAACAAAACCAAAACCCCACGAAACTCCCACACTTTATGTGCTTTCTGGTTCAAAGTTTGTTCGTTTTCTGTAATGTGTAAGTTGGTGGCCTTGGATAACTACCTGCTATTGTTATTGATATCCAATTTATTCTTTGTGCTCTCTTATTTTCGTTCCATCTTTCCTCTGTAGTCTTCTACTGAGAAAGCAAGTAGAATACTTATTCACAGAGCACCAACTTACTTATTAGTAAGTCCAGTTTCAAAAGTGGTGCTTCAACAATGCATTAAATAAACTTCTGTATTTCAGAACAGACACGGGACCAAGAACTCTGTAGTATATCACAAACATCTTTTGTTCCCCCCTGTATAATTTACCACCATCAGTGAAATCTACTTTGCACTCCCATTGCTGCTGTATATGTCTGCCCGAGTTTTCCTTAACATCCCATCACTTTTTCACATTTCTCTTCACTGGGAGTGAATGTGTCTGTACAGGCTGTGTAACTTAAAATTCAGGATGGGTGGAGCATTGAAATAATTGCATATAGGATAGGGAGGGAAGTTAAGAGAAAATAGTGACAGTAGGTTCATTAAATTAACTTGAACAGAAATTTGTATCGTGGAAAGAAGTTGAAAATTGCTAGCTGATAAATACTTTCAACTAAAATACACAAGCAATTCTTATGGTGTGAGAATTCACACATTTTAAGTGAAATAGTAAATCCATCTCTAGCACCTCTAGCTTATTTTTAGATAGCTAGCACATTTTAAGAGTGTTCCATCATCTACCTGTTTCTCTTTAGGTTGTAATTAAGAAACATGTTGAGAATACATTCTTTTGCAAATAATGAAAGAAAACAAAAGACTAAAGATCCTGTGTTTACACAGGGAAAACAAGTTAATAATCAAGACAGTAGAGAAAAAAAGTGACCTGCCTAATAAGCACTTCGGTTTACATACTTGTTGTCTTTCATGATGGTTTCAAGGTTTCTCCAAACAGTGAAGGCAAGCAGCGATCGGACAACTCCTTTGGTAGAACTGTGCTAGTTTACCTGTTTGAGCAAATCTTTTCTATTCAAGGGAATACCTGAACTATGGACAGATGTTCAATTAACAGCAGTACTGGCCAGATGCCAAACTCAGGACTTTTCCAGCAATAGCCTAGATCCTTCAGTGCTTTTGAAGGTCTCAGTGTAGTTTTAGTTACTCAAGAGGAAATTACCTTTAGCAGAAATGCAAAGACAGCACTGTGTGAACTCTACAGCACAATATTCCATTAATCTTCAGGGATAAAGATGGCTTATGTAATTACAAAATAACAAAACTTGTTTGTATTTTAGAATACATACCCAATCGTTACATTATATTGGTGAACAGAGGGTATGTGATGAGTTTTCTGCTTCTTCTTTGCAGGCTTGAAAGATAGAGGCTCCTGACAAGAAGATGAAGCCACAGAAGTTACATTTGTTGAGCAATACTTGTCTATGCTTATTCCTGAGTGGTAGATATTATTTTGATTCTGGCTTAGATTGCCTTTTGGAGCAACATACTCAGAGCATCCATCAGATAGTTGGATGTCATCTTTCAATAGTGCTTTATTACCAAGATCTGTTAGGACAAGAGTTGTAGTTCCAAATGCAGCTTTTCTGTTGATCTTTATTTCTCTGCTTGGTTTTCTGAAGTCATTACAAGGATATTTAATGAGGTTTACATTAAAGTCTGTGGAATCTTCAGCATCCTCTGTCTTCAGTGAAGAACTCACTACGCAAAATGTGAAATAAGTACAGCATTAGTTTTTGAGGTAGAAAATTCTAAGTATGGAATGATTATAGGATTAGCTTTACCCCTAACACCACACACACATAACTCTAAACTTGGCTTCTTGGAATACATGTTCCTTTTTTGTTCCTACAAGATTCTTGACTCAAATAACTTGCTGTAAATCCCTTCACTGAACATTTTAATCACTTTTCTACAAAAGGTGAAGGAGAATACAAAGTTCCTCTTCAGAGAGAAAACAGGTCTCAGAGGAAAGTCTGTCCACTACTTCTTTCATCTCTTAATATCTAAATACAGAAATCTGCACAGAAGTAGCAATCTTTGTGTCCCTTTATGGGTCTCATTCACATCTGCTTTCTGCCCACTGAGAGGTCTGCTTAGTAGCATTAAAGCTCCAGTAGGAGTTATCAACAAATTTAATCCAAAATCCTCCTTAATCTGAACTCAGAGGAAAACAAAACAAAAAACTAGCTCCTGAGAAATCCAGCAGTGCTTTGGAAAGGGTACCAAAATATCTACTCCCTTTCTGGTTTTGTTCACGTGTAGGAATGTGAATTATTTCTCTGCACCACTGATGATTTCTCCACCAGGCATTTGCTGCAAACGTCTAACAATTTTAATGAGAGTTTAAAGTATGATATTTTGTTTCACTCTTTGCCCCAGCAAAAATAAACGATCACCACAGAGACTTGTCTATAGAATCCCCACCTGCAAATAAAGCTGGAAGGCATGACACTTCTAGGGTTTAAGACAAGACAGTTTCTATGATCATCTGTGTAAGATTTCCTCCACATCTGACTTTAAGTCTGCTAAAGTTATATAAATACAATTCACAGTAAGTCATTTCTACAGTTCTATAGTTCTAAAAATTGCACCACAACCCTCCGTTCCCCAGTATGGGCTCCAGGCAACCTTTCAATACCTTCCGGCCTTGAAGTCAAACAGGCATCACAAGCTTCAGCAGAAGGCTTGTTTATTAGGGTGCAGCGCATACATGTCCACTCTTCTTCACATTTCTGAGCTACGTGTTCATTAGAACATGACCCCCTGCCACATGCCCAGCCAATTAGGCTATTTCTAGTTGGCAGTTTGCTGTGAAACAGAAGAATGATGTTAGTCTTTTGTGACGTTTCCTCTACAAATTACCTTACATCGCTATGTTCAGGGAGGCAAGAACCTAGAGAACAAGCAGTACAGCATGCTATACCTGCCTAACAGCATGTCACTGTAAGAGTTTGATTTTCTTCTTTACCTAAAGGGCAAATCTTTCCAAGTAATACAAATATTCAAACTAACACTGACAAAAAGTTAACAAATAACAGAGATGCTCTGCAACACAATGCTCCAGCCTCTCTCAAATTCGCTACTGTCCTTGAACAGAGTTACAAGAAATTTGGCAAGAAAGGAGAACCACTTCTGTACATTTCCCCCATCCATTGCATAGATGCATTACTGAATGAAGAACTAATCAAAAATTGCTACAGACAGTCACACAATCTAACAAATTTCAACAATGTTTTTCTCTCACATAAATGGCATCCATTAGGCCACTTTGTTGTCCAAAAAGCCAACATAATTGAAAATGTTGAAGTTATAAAGTCTTTCTTTTGTCTCTCCATTTCCTGATTTTTTATTTTTAAACATTTAGGTGCTTGTTCAGTTATAACTGTTAAGACAAAGCTGTACTGCAAATGCTTCTATAGAGTTTTTCTGTAGTTATTTTTCCTTTAAATTACTGTATTCATATGTTAGTACATTTATCTAGAACCACAGTTACTGTTTCAGTCACTGCATGCTATGAAGGACTAGTTTTGTAATACTATTCAAAAATTGTTAGCATGCAAAATGAAACTATCAGTTCAGTGACATGCAAAGTTTCAGGTACTACGTTTGCTAAGACATCAAACATTTGTCTCTGTAGTTGGTGAACTGTTGTGACACTCCTTAGACTTATACTTACTCTATAATTATCACTCTCCTTAACAGGCTAGGTATCTAAAATGTATTTTTTTTTCCCCCACCAATAGTTGAGATACCTACCACAGCTTTTTCACAAAATGATAAAGAGGAGTTATGGTAGACATTACATTACCATTCCCAATATACTGGGGTAGATAACAAAACAGCCTAACTAGTAATTTAAAAATGCCCATTTTAAAGACTATCTATTAATTTCTACTACGCAGCTGTCAAATGAGTATTATCAGACAGAAATCATTCAGCATGTCTTCTTTACAAGTATAATACTCCTCCTCTTTAACATTTTCCCCATATTTCACTATCTAAAAGATGTATTTTAAAGATTCAAGGTACACTTGAATTTGATAAAGTTGCTTATAATGGGTCCTGTCTTTATTTTGTCATTTGAGCAAAAACAAGCTACTGGACTTAACCCAGGAATCGCTGAGTTAAACTCCACAGTTTATGATCTGTAGCACGTCAGTTTGATTACATAGGCTCCTGTTCACCTTCAAACATGAAAAGGTTGAACTTGCAGAAAAGCTACCTGAGAGAGGACACTTTAAAGTGGTACACTTTCTGGGTAGCAGAAAGAGCAGTATAATGTAGCAGTCTGACAATAAAGATGAAGACAGTACTGGAAACAGCCTTGCAGGAAGGTCACTCTGAAAGCATGGCTTCTATTTATTTCTGAGGAACTTCCACAGATCCAAAGAACACAGTAACACTACTTGATAGAGCAGATTTTCAGCTGTTTTTCAACAAAGTCACTACCAGTAGCTACCCATTTTCATCACTGATGAATGAGAATCTACATACCACTCATGTAACAATCTGCATGGCTGTCAGAACATGGCTTGTCTTTCACTTCACTGCTGCTAGTGCTGACAATAAGAGAGAATACTTCCAGAGCAGCCTTCATGTTTCTATAGCTACCATTACCACAACTTTAAAATATACCACTGCTTAATTGTTTGTTTTCAGAAAGATACTGCTTTTTCTAGAATGGAGAGAAAGTTATTTCTTCCCCATGTATAATTTCGTGGTTGTGTGACTCAGTGAAACATTTCCACCTCCCTACTGTTTTTCAAAGTACTTCTCATAACTTTCAGAGAAAAAAAAAAAAACACAACAACCCAGGAGATTGATGTTATCAGCATGTGAAATATTTATCTTCTATGCTGGAATTTTCTATGTTTGATCTGCACTGAGAAGTGATTTTTAAGCTTTAAGCAAAATCCTTTTGGCCATCTGAATTTTGAAAGAAAGTTGGAATTTAGGGTGGCAGAGTAAGATAATTTTGTGTAAAACTTCTATACTTTTCCGTAAATCTTCTTAAAAAAAAAACTCTCTATGCATACATACGCACAAACACATGCACTAATGAAAACAAAATTTTTCAAATGGAAATTGTGTCTTTCATCAGACTGACAGAGCTCAATACAAAAAAAAAAAAAAAAGCAAGATTGAGGCCTCAGATGAAAATTTTCTAGAATAACTTAGGTGTGGAAGAATCTGTGAGTAAGGTGCTTTTGAAACTTTTACCTTTTGCCCTTTTGTGATATCAAACACATTTTGTGCTTTTTCTGAAATAAAAGGAAGGCTGCTGCTAGCATAATTTATATGGAACTGAAAGTCTCTGTCACACTTATAGTAAAAGCTTTCCAGAACTGTTAAGGAGGGAAAAAAAAACTCTGAAGCTCTACAGTACTTGCTGCATTCTGAATTTACGTTCCTTAGTTTTCCTCAGCATCTCTCTACATCTAGAACAAAATTATGTAGATGTAGTTGCTTAGATATTCCTGAGAGCCTTCCTACAAGCAAGAAGAGACACACAGATTCTTACCTTCCTCATGCCATTCAACTCACTCACATGTAAGCATCCGAGCCTATTAAGTGTCTAACTGAGAGAACAATTTTTCTAAAAGCAGTGAATAATTTTGAGTACTTTCTGTTATTTTTATGATTTTCACATTTGATTAGCTAGTTTATAACAGAAAGGATCTTTAAGCCAAGCATTCTAATTAAAGCTTTTAACCATTTTAAACAATGGCCAAAACATTTTATTTATTTATTTTTTTTAATAAATACAAGTGAGCTTACAAAACACAGACTGGTTTGCATGCAGCCATTCTATTTGCTTTCTATTGTTACCATAACAGTACTTTCAGGACATCAGTATTTCAGTGTTATAAAGTTATCATCGTACCTAACGTTGACAAGCTGGGGATCAGCCTTTTGACATCGAGAGCAGAAGTAAGTCATCCTGTTATTCTCTCCTAAACGACACACAGTGATTTTCTCATTGCACTGACCGCAGGTTTGGCGCCTGTATACTTTGTAGTGTTTGTAGAGTGGAGACCCAGTCTTGCGGCACTAAAATAGAACATGTTTAAAACCCAAGTTACAGATACTATATAAATTATGGTAGGTTTTCTACAGCTCATCTGAAATGAAAATAAAAATATAGCTGTGCAGACTAATAGCTTAATGACTAAACAAAGACATTAGAGGAATATTCATGAGGGCTACGTCCTGTATTTCATCTTCTTTTATTTCAAAAATTGACATTAAATCTGGTATATCATGGTGCAAAATTTTCTGAGTATTGGAATAAAGAAAGACACAAAAAGACATACTAGCATAGCATCAGCAGACATATGCTAGGGATCCCTTGCATTTAGATGGACCATCTAGCTTTGATTTAACACCAGTCTTCTTTGACCTGTCAGCTGCAAAAAAACACTGGGAGAGCTCATGAGCTCCATTCAACACAGCAGAGAAAATGAATAGGAGTCAGCTTGAGCCTAGTAAAGTTGCTCAGTTTCATCCTAGCGCTCATCACACCAGACAGGCTGGCTTGTGAAATGCTAGTTGGCACAATGGCAAGATCCCCATCCCCAAGAGCTGGCAGAAAGACATGTCAAAGTAAGAACACAACAAACTCAAAGGGCACAGTGACCTAATGAGACCCCAAAGAGCTGACAAGCAGGCATATTTCATGAGGCAGTTCATGCAAAGTCAACACAGGCATACTCCAGCTGAAACTGACAGAAAGAAAAAAAAATAAAATCAGGAAGAGCCCAGTAGAGATACAGCCAGTAATTCAGTCAGAAGGTATTACTGATAAAGTGTTCGTGTGAATATTCACAAGCAATTTTTTTTTTCTGTAAATTTCTCCATTTTTTATTAGTTTTGTTCCATTAGTTATTAAAATCAGACAAAAACAGCAGTTTACTATATGAACTAGGCACCACATATTTGTATCTTAAGGTGTTAAACTGCAAGTCAAAGTGTTGAATGATTACTACAAGAATTACAGTATACTAACATTCTATAAACAATGATCATCACTACCACATATTAATCTGTTTTTGTTATGTTTTTATCTTCAAGAGGCTTTGGGGGCAAGTTCATCCTTAAGAAGTACTTAGCTGATAATACTTGGTAGGTTTAGTTATAAAAATTTAAGATATGTAAACCGAGCTACAGAAAATGTAAATTGTTTATTGTTAGTCTAAATGCTTGTGACATGCCTACCCTTCTTAGTATTATATGCCGATGCAGAACCACTTGCTCTCTCTTTATTAGTAGGCTTCCCTATGAAGTTTGGATGATGAAAAGATTCCAAATCTAGCTAGATTAATCACTACTCTTTGACAGGTTAACAGAAAGCAGAGATTTAAATAGACTAAAATGAATTACATTTATAAGCTCTACCATTGAAAGAATGCATTAGAAACTTTAATTTTTTTTCCTCCAAGCTTACCAAAAAGAACTTCTAGCAACACTAGCTCCCTGTCTTTCATGAATAACTTTGAGAAACAGACAAGCATTTCATTCCTCCATGTGCAGCTTAAAGAAAAGCATACAAACAAGAAAGCAGCAACATACAAGAATTAGGCCCAGTTCTTTCATTCTGTTTTGCAAAGAGGAAGAGCCACCAGGAATTACAGCGTTGACAAGAGAAGAAATGAAATCCTATTGAATGGTAGAAATGAAATCCTATTGACCTTGAGTTTATTTTGCTTTATCAACCAAAGAAACTGTCATAGTTAGGAAGAAATGTTGTTAGCATTTACAATGTATTCACTCATATAAATGCACTTAGCATTTCAAGTTTCATAAAGCTGCATTAATTGAATTCCCTTAAAAATTTCCAGGGGCAACCTCTAGCTCCCAGTTTGAAGAGTTACCACCTTACATGCATGTGCTTAACTTATATTAATTCTGACACATTCAGAGTGACTTCACCTGTACAGCAAAACTGTACTGAATTGTGTGAATGTCACACTTCCTGCTGCAACTGGGCCAAAGTTCTGCACATTCTTACAGTCTAGATTTTCCCACTCTTCCATTTCTTGGCAATTTGCAATAAACCTGCAAAACAAGGCTCCTATTCACTGAAGCATTTTTTTTGTTTCATTTCTTTTCCTCTTTCCCCTGACTGATCAAATACAGCTGTGATGCTGTAATCAAGTTTTGGAGGTTTCTTAGAAATATCTGTCCATACCTTATAAAAAAGCAGGGTAAAGCCACGTGTCATTTTCACCAAGTGACGTATATGCTCATCTGTCAATTGGCAAACCTACAAATAAAACAAGTGTGATTTTTATAATATTGCTATATTAATTGACATCAGTAAAGAGATCTTTATAGACATGGGCACTCCAAACACTTTCCAATGAATTCTCTTAGCAAGGAAAAAATAGTACACTTTTGTATTTTACACCATGCAAACTCACTGTGTGAATAACAAATAATGCACTTTGCCTCAGTCATGCAAAATATTAGCTAAAAACTTCAGTGGTCTACCTCTTTATTGATCTAAGAGTTCCTGATCATAGAAATCATATGAGCTAGCAACTCTGAATTCACTCTGCTGGGAATATAGAGATGACTCCCCTTGAACCTAGAACTCACTTCAAATGGATAGTCATCATATCCATGAATGTAATCATACAGTTCTAATTAGGGTTAAAATTCAGACTGATTCTATGAAGAACTTCCAGAAATATTATCTTTAACAGTAACTCCTACTATTTTCACCTCCTTTCCTCTACGTTTTATGTAATCTCAGTTTCCTTTGCTAATTCTACAGAACTAGCTATAGAAAAACACATGAGCAAAGAAACCCCAGGCATTTTTAATTTTATTTATAGGCTGACAATTTAAAGGCAGCACAACACGATGCTGGACAAAATCAGGACTTGTAAGTTAAATTAATTCCCTAGAAAAGAAGTTCCAAGCTGTAAGATAGGCTTGGTACAATAAATGTCTAACCTGGGAGACAGGAGCAACAGTAACAGGTTTCAAGGAAAGCTATATCAAGTCCTTCCAATCCGAATGTTGGAACTACAATTTAGTTAATGATAGATGAGAAAACAAAGGAAGATTAGAAGATAACAAAATTTTGTTTAACTTTATATTTATTCTCCTAATACTCTAGGATAATTGAAAACAATCTTGATGCAATCCACCTACTTTAGCAGCTGGATGGAGACCGCTGTCAAATAGTGCTTCGTTTTTTATGATATTTCCAACTCCAGGTAATACTCTTTGATCCAGTAACACATCACATAACATCTGTGTTTTCTGCTGCTTTACCTCACTTTCTGCTCTTAAAAAGCTAAACTTTGGAGAGCAGACATCCAAGCTTTCCATCATTCTCACTTTCTGCTCACACTCTGCTACATTTCTGGAAAAGAAAAACCAACAAAAAAATGTATATTTTGTTTTACTTACAATTAAGCAACTTTAAAAACAAAACTATATATGAAAGTGTAACAGGTTATTATTTGCAGATAACACAAAATATGAAAATACCACTCATGAGAAGAGACACAGAAATTATATTAACCCCCCCCTTACAAAAAGGTTCAATGATACATACATAGAACATACAAGTATCTGTCCAACATACAAGAAACCATCCTCATTTGGTTCAAATTAGCTTGAAAACTAGTTAAAACTATTTGCAATATAAGAATCATGTGTTTGGATCATCAACCATAAGGTATATGGGTTCAGCAGGTTTCAACATGACAAGAAAATATGTTTTCTTAAACCTTGATTTTTTTTAAGCTAACTACAAACTGAAGAACATGTAGTTGCAAGAAAATACAGTAGAAGCTGTTTCAGTCTTGCAGAAGCTTATCTGTTCCATAGTATTAAGCTTACGTATGATATAGACATATTACTTGAATTTACATGTTCCTTTTCACTGAACAATTTAACTGCTTTAAAATTAAGCTTGCTACATTAGTTTTATTATCAGCAGGAAGTACAGTGCTAAAGGACAAATATAGCTACATAACATTAATTAGTAAAACCACACCAAATTGCTATCACAAAAACCCAACAAACATAACCTTGGGGCCACAAAAGTTTGAAAACAGTAATTGCTATAGATACTTATTCTTGCTAAGAAAGTTACATTTAAAATTAAATAAGTAATGGGTTTCAGCTTTCAGATCGAAGGACTGAATTAAATCCAAGTTTCATTCCCAGTCTCGACAATATCTAATGAGGCTATGATGTAGAACTACTTTAGCTCCTTGCAAACTGTGATACAAAAGTGACAAAATTAGATATCCATATTAATAAACATTTTAGTAAGTTTTGATTAATTTCTTTTATCTATGATGTCTCTCAGCCAAACAATTAACAAGGTCTGATTTTTATTTTTTACTTCATCCTTAGAAGAATGTTATAAACCAAGCTGTGTTTTTTTCTCTTTTGTTTTGTTGTTTTCTCTTGTCATTTGAAGATGGTTAGTTTCTGCCTTACCTATATTCTACTGTCACCTCAAAGAAACAAATAGTATCTTTTATAAGCTGTATCTCCAAAACTGGTAATGCTCCATTTCTGTCTTTACTTCCATCAGGATTAATGCGCATGGAACCGTTCATACCAAAGTGAATCCTTGGAAAGAAAGAAAATTCTTATGGGTATTTAATCTTAACAATGTTTTCAAGCATTTGCTAGTCTAGTTTTTACAGTTAGGAGCTGTTCTCACCTAACCAAGTTGGTAAGCATGTACATAAGTTCTAGTCACTAAGAGAAACATTACTCATTAATTTTCAAAGGCCCGTGACCAAGGCTTTCTTCTTACATCAGTTCCGTTAATTCAGTTACTCCAGCTGCATCTGCTTCTGTTACCTATTTACATCTCTGAAGTGCCATTAACTAGTCAAGAAAAGTATAAACCAAAATATTGCACTAAAACTTCCAGAAAGTTCCTTTTTTTAAAAGGCTACATTCACCATAATAGCTGATCATTTCATTAGCCAAGCTTCACTACACTGTTTAAAATAAACGTTAAATAGCCAGCCATGACAAGAAAAATAATTCATGATCATTGCTACGTTTATATTAGAAGGCCTTAAGAAAGTTACAAGATTTCACTCTATTGTGTTTCATTACTTTGATGTGCTGAAATAAAGTAAAACAGAATTCTTATTTTAATTACAAATAGAAAAAAAAACACTAATTAAACTTAGGATCTATTATTCAATTATAGCTAGTAGTAAGATGGTGATTTTTTGTTGTTTTTGTGGTAAAGTAAAAAGATAAGTTTTTTCAATTAGTGCCATACAGCATTGCAAGACTGCTTTTATTTGATCTACTTTTTGCCTAAGGGTTCACTAGCAACGCACTTCCCCCTCAAAGACATTGTCTTATGAAAGCCTGGAGAATATGACCATCTTAAAGCTGCAGTTAGAAGTCTTCTATACAACGTGAATGGGTTCTTAAACCATCAGGACCTTCTTAAACCATCAGTAATACTCTCTAGAATGAACTTTGAGTGATGAGTCTTTTGATATACTGTGTTAACTACTGTACTGAAAGTACTATTATAGATTAAAGACTCCATTACAAATTGCTACATAGAGTTTGAAACTCTCTTTAACATTTAAAGTGAGGCTATACAGAAGTTTCTCCATAACACTAACTTTCCAAATCTCTGGACATGACAAAAACAAGAACCCCCTTAGACAAAAAAAAGATCCCCCTTAGCATAGTGAACCTTTTTCTTATCTTTTACCTCAAGGCTTTTTGATCAAAATACATAAAAAATTCCTTTCCCAATGTTTCCACACCCCTGAAAACTTGTCCAGTAAGGAAATCATGACTAGTGGTTCTCTCCTCACTTGCAGCAGTCTGAAAATGAGCACACAAAAAGATTAAAACAGAATGAACAAACACTGAACTTCACAAGCTTCTGACTGCTTATTTTCCTCATCTGTCAAGATCCCCCTGAGTGGGGTCTCAAGGGCTCTGAAGGTCCGTTTCTGCAGTTTTTAATTGAACAGAAAAACAAATTTTTTTTTTTGCATGGCATGAACATCATTTACTTCAACTATTGTAGAAATAAGAAAGCACTCTCATTTCACCCTTACATCAACTGTTAATCCCTTCTAATAAAAGTATTTGAGTGAGATACTACACAGCAAGATTTCCTTTTACTTCAATCTGCTCAGGTTTGTTTAAAACAAACCAGAATAAGAAGTGACAGGGATGAAAAATGAAGTTGACATTCAAAATATTCCAAGTTAAATCCTTGCCACTTCAGCACTAATAGCACAGTGTGGGTTCCCCATAGTACTGTTTCAGCAGTGGCCAAAGCCTCAGCTATGGTTTACAGCCCACGATGGCCATTTTCTGATGAATAAAGGCAACCTGAGGTGACCTCTGCTGCAGTACATAACGAGCACTGAAGGGAATGACATTTCTCTATGAAATTAGAAGAGTAACTCCTTACTTTTGAAAAGCTTAGTACTAAGGGATACAAAGCTACAGACTAACCTGTTGATGGCATAACTTAAACAGATTTACCTAGAACTACACTCTTTCTTAAGTCTGTTTAGGCATTACGTTTCTGAGCCTTAATCACAAGTTCTGTTTAGGCATTACGTTTCTGAGCCTTAATCACAAGTTCTCTTACCCTGCCTTACCTGAAGGGGATGTATACATGCCGGGTTGCTCCCCAGCCATCTACTCGGGGATACCCAGCACACTTACAATGAAAGTACACACAGCCCCCCGCAGCAAAGCACAAACAGGTGTTGCAAACAGCCCCAATCACACCCCTACTGAGAGCCAGACTATACGCCAACCCATTTCTCCACCGGAAGGGTTCACAAGCCCCAGCAAAGTCTGAACCGAAGCAAACGAGAACGCCTCTGAAAGCTTTTCCCCAGCCTGGCGGGACCCAGCACCACGCGCACCCAAGAACTGGAGCTGCCACCCGGTTCCTCACCGCAGCGCGAGCCCCAGCCGGCAGAGCGCTGCCCCGCGCGCTGCGCACCGCCTGGCCCCGGCGCACTCGCGCCCGCAGCCGCTCCGCGAACAGCGCGCAGCACGGGCCCTCCACCATGGAGCCGCCTCTTCCCTTCAAATCTCCCGCTCGCTGTGGGGTGGAGCTGCCGGGCTGCCCTGGTGAGCGCCGAGGGAGAACGCGGCTGCGCTAGGGATGAATGTCCCGGCGTACCCCTAAAGGGCTCCGAGGGGCGGACCGGGCGCGGCACGTCACCGCGTTGTTTGCACTCGCAGCGCCGCCCCGCTTGGCACGCGGTGTGGTTTGAATCTGGAGCCGTTTTCACGGCTGGGAGCAAAAGCCGTATGAACGTTAAGCCAAAGGCTTTGTTCTGCGAGACCCTTCAGACAAAACACGGTATATCTTATTTATTTTTGTTCTTAAAAATACAGTTCTTATACCTTCTTGTCGTAGAACGGTTTGGGTTGACCCTTAAGATCGTCTCGTTCCATCCCCCTTCTGTAGGTTGGGACACCTCCCATAGTCCAGGTTGCTCAAAGCCCCATCCAGCCTGGTCTTGAAGGCTTCCAAGGAGGGTGCATCCACAGCCTCAATCTGCAACCTGTTCTGGTGTTTCACGATCCTCACAGTAAATAATTTCTTCCTAATATCCAGTCTAAATCTATCCTCCTCCAGTTTAAAGCTATTTCCCCTCATCCTGGAGCTGCATGCCCTTATAAAATGCCTGATTAGTGATTGCAGTCTTCCTTTTGTTCCCCAAAACAGCCTTGCAAGTGCATCTTTTTGTAGGATTAACTTAATGCACAATTGGAAACTAATTTCAGCCCTTAGTCAATATTTAACAGGCTTTTGCAGCCAGTTCAAGTCTGTGTACATGTGGAAAATGTTCTTTTTCCTGCTGCCGTTTAGGTAAGAATGGATATAATAAACTCCACAAGCTTAACAAAATACTGAAGGACATTAGGTTCAAAGATAGAGCAATGGATGCAATTTTCTAACCTGCACCTTGTGGGGTGTACTCAAGCATCTCTGTGATGATTATTTCTTATATAAACAGTTTGTACCCAGTTTTGTATCAAGGCTCAGGCCTCGATTACAATGTGCAATTCCTGAAAGGATAACTGCTATTTCCTTTAAAGGGTGTGACTAAGTGAAGTTTACCAAAATAAAAATATATATGCTATATAATTAGGATATACCAATAAATGTAACCCCTTTCCACTTCTTTTGTGGTTACCATTAGAATTTTAAACAATAACTATGAGAGAATCAAACTCACTAGTCAGAGAGCAGGAATCCAAGTTGTGGAGAAACTTAAACTGATTCTTCTGCTATTCCCACATTCTTCCTACCTTACTGTTTTTCCTAGGCAGTTAGAAATCACTGCTTAACATAATTTTCTATATTCACATGTATACACCTTAAAAATATACCAACAACTCCCATTATTTTGTTATTAAATATACTGTATTTTGTGATCAGGGAGTTTATAACTGGATATTTTTCTGTGAATGACTTCTGCAATGTGTTGCTGCAGGTTGGGCTTTTAATTTCACATCTAATTTCCAATTAGACATTCCAATGCTAACAGTTTAATGAGGTTCTACCCCCTTTCCTGCTCATGTATACAAGTGAATTTTAGTTAGAGAATCTGCAATAACTCAACTTTTGCATGCACTAGAAGTTGAACTCAAGCTTCGTACAAAACACTGTTGGTGTGCTTTGTATTACAGTGTCCGGTGATGGTTGATACAGATTTGGGACTTTCTTTACTTTAGGAATTTGGGAATGCAGTCGAAACTGAAGAGTGGAGGCAGCACAGTAACAGATACCAGTCTGACTGTTTTATGGTTTCAAACAATCAACTCTGAGCAACAGTCAATGCTTTTGTCCCAATGTGAAGGACCTCCAGAACAGCAGCTGAATGAGAAAGAGTATTTGTGCAAAATAGTTGCTGATAAAGATTTTAAATTAATTAGTAATGCAGTCAAGATAGAAATACATAACCACTTGTGTTTTACAGAGTTCTAACTAGAATAATTTTAGCTGCTTTGCAGGAGTAGTTTCTCAAGTCAGGAAATATCAATTGCTGCCATTCAGTTTCAGTACTCTAGTTCCAAGTTACTTAGACCAAGGGGGAAGGTGTTTTGTAAGAGGCAAGTTTTAAAGGTGGCCGAAGGACTGTATACAATATAAAAGTTTTTAATTTATGTCAGAGTTCTTTGCTAGAATATAACATTTTGTGGCAGGTAATTTCATCAGCAGTTGTTTACACATTATTTTGACTTTGAAAAATCCAATAGCCACAAGAAATAATCTCTCCCACAGGTAATTAAATGTGCAGATTTCAAGAACAAGCTAGCAAATAAATTCCACTAGAGTGTAAGTTTAATATTTGGCTATTTTTTACTTCCCGTCTTCTGTTCCAACAATGAAATCCCATCATTCTACTGTACTGTGATGATGGATATGGCAAATAATGTCAAATCACCTGCAGTGAAAGGTAAAACCTTCTTTTGAAGCAGAAAATGAGTGTATCTACATATGCTCATAAATTTGTCCCAATATTATAGTTGTTTGAGCAGCTGCCCATGTTGCATTTCCCAATGGCATTCTCAGGCACCATTTCTTGATTTATTTATGTGTTAGCAATATTTACATTCAGACATTAGCATACTGTAGAACAATGTGCTCAGAACTGGACACTCATATTTTTACTGCCATAGTTGAGACATTATTGCGGTTATGATCCCATTAGAAAATAAAAAGGTACATTTATTTTAAAAATTTCAGATTTCCTAGAATTATGAAAAGCATGCATATCCTTTTATTTGTTTGTTTTCATTTTCCAGAACTTGCATGCAAGCGCTGATTCACTGCTTTGCTGTACTAATTTGTGTTGCAGGACATTCAATATAAAATTGCAATCAGTTTGCAAGAGTAGAGCTCCAAACATCCAAATGCTCCAACTTTTTTTCCCTAGGATTAATATGTTCTCTCTAGAACACTGGTACACAGTTTAAATACATATTAAAAAAAAAAAAAAGATGGTGGCAAGCAATATTATTGTATGGCAAAATAATTTAATTCAAACGGAATGTAATTTTAAGCCATACTGAAGTTCAATTTCTCAGAACGGAGCACGAGAGAACAGGAATATGCAGAAGAGAAACACTCTCTGCTCTTTTAAGCCCAATAAGCAGATGGACAGGTTTTTGTTTGTTTGTTTTTTTCTGGCTAGTTAAATTGTACAATGAACTGCAAAGACATTCCATTTATGGTAACAAAATTTTGTAATGAGAACTAGTAAACAGTGGATAGTGGATAGTTTACCTGTTTCATGTCTAGAGAGTTAATGTGAATGGTTAAGCACACTCAAAGTTACTCATCATGTAATCCTAGTGAAATCCTTCCTAAACCCTGTAAAAACATTCCCAAATCCTTCTAAATTAAGTTTGTTAATGCAGTTGATCTGAATTGGTGTGTTGTACGGGGAGTGTGTTCTGGTTAAGAATTCCTGGTCTGCCAGAATATTTTGAAGGTCATGCAATTTTGATATGGAGACATGGTTAACTTGATTTTTGGTAGTTACTCAAAATAAATAATGTCTTGACTGATGAGATCCTTTTGTAAGACAGGATTTTGTACCTCCATTAAAGAAAACATGTTACAGTAACTTTTAACAGCTCCATGTACTGTAAACTAAGGATATATACTAGGAGGATCTTTCAAAATTGCAGTAAAATATCAAAATAAGATTGTTAAGCTGTCAATGACAGTTTTAGTCTGGTAATTTCCTGTATTTAGCCTGTTATATATTATTTATCTGCAGTCACAGGAAAATGCTAGAGCTTAGTCCATGTTCAGGGAGAACAGTACATATGGTCTGAAAATATTTTTGTTTAATGGATTACAAGTAAGAGGGACAGCTGAGTCTTAGTAGTACCATCCCAGTTTGTACCAGCCGAAAAGTGGACACACACAAATGTATTCTAAGGATTGCGATGCATATACTAAATAAGAAAGTCATTTTCTAATTTATACATTTAACATATTGTAATTTAGGTGGCCAAAACAGAACATGAGATAGACAGAGAATGCAAATCATAAGTAGACTTGTATACAAAAATATTCTGATATTGTCACAACAGTGCAAGGATTTCTTTGACTAATGTTTAACAGAGAGTTATCTGTAAATGAGTGGCTATCAGCAAGTCACTTGGCAAAAATATCTCATCTCCACATCAGTTCTTGATTTCCCTACAGATAAACAAATATTAATAATCTTTGAAAGCATTAGCTAATTTTATACACTAGTTTTCAGCAGGGTAATTTTGCCTTTTTTGGTCAAGAATAGAAAATTAGATGTGGATTGATTTTAAATACCAAAATTGTTAAGTATTTCTTACAAGAACTGCATCAAATTTTCAGCTTTCATTTGAAAAAAAAAAAAAAAAAAAAAAAAGCATAATTGTGTAAACCAAAGAGTTACATCCACAAGTAGACGGGCTTAAAGAGAGAGAAGCAAGCTATTCATTTTGCTGAAAGTTCAGTAATCAGTCCATTGCCTGTTATATTTGTAAAGTACTGCAAACCCTGAAATCCCTGTGTAATCAATAGCCAAAGGCGGGCTACTTCACCAGGCAGTGATTTAGGGCAGAGGCCTCATTGGGTCTTAGCTATGCAGGAAGTAGTGCTTGTTCCTGCTGCTGTACACCCTGCTGCATTACATCAAGCAGTAGGATATTTCCTTATGCAATCTAAGGAGACAGCTATGCCTACTAGCACGATTCACATGTTTACTGAGCAAGACAACTGAGCATGCCAGAGAATTGCATGGTTGCTCCTCAGCACTCTGCATTCATGGCAGTAAAACATTTCTTTGTTTAGATACTCAAACAAAGCAAAATTTCCAAAAAACAGAATATGTCAGCTTCTCTCTTTATTCAAACTACTAAAGCAATCTCCTGATTCCTGGGTAAAGTAGTGGAGCATCCTTCCCTGGGAACCTGGGAGAAGTTGATCCTAGAGTTTCAAACTTCTGAGGAAACATGCAGGAAACAGAATGTATAGTGTTCTAAACTGAGGCTAACTTAGTCTCCCTTGTCAAAGTGCTTTTGTTTTGCATAGCACACTCAGTTTTTAACTAGAGCAATGATAGGAACTGAGGCCATTTGGATTATTATCTAAATTATCTGGAATTATCAAATCTATTTTTTGGCATCTGATTGCTATACATAGCCACCTCCAACTTCATCATTCAAAGTATAACTAACTCTGGAAGGATATTCCTGTTTTACTCTGTGATCTTGATGTTAACTGTAACAGGAGCTTTTGAGTCTGAATTTAATTTTGGCACACTGGGAGTAAATCTGAGTTCTATTGATGCAGTTATTAAGTTATGTTATTAAGCATGCAGTATCCATCTATATCCATATATATGTCTTTTTGTGTTGAAGGAAAATGTTTTACTGCTAGGAAGATCCCACTTTCTCTGTCCACCAAAAAATTTAATTACCCAGTGATAACGGCAGTTACATTGATGGCAGGAGACCAACCATTCATATGCTGTTTCAAAAAAGATTGAGTGCTTTGAACTTGCATATGTTGTTTATTGTGTCAGTTTTTAAGCCATAAAGAGTTGCAGAGGCTGCTGTAATACTCTTTTCACTATATTTCTGTTGGTGACTTTGCCTGGTAAATGGTGTAAGAAACTTAATCTTGGAGCAACTCCAAAAGCAAAACATGTAGAAACGAATTGGTAAATTCCATCTACACAGGAGGTTAAAAAGAAACTTTCATTTTCAAGTCTTAATGCTTGTGTAAGTCCTAAAGGAAAAAATTTGGCCACAGCAGAAACTTAGCTTCCTGGGAACATAGATATCTTCAGGCTTAGGTTCCATCGAAGTTGAATGTGGGAAGCCCGGTTTCTGGATCAGCTATGCCTAGGTATCAGACAGCAGACTATCTATTATCTTTCTGTGCTGTGAGAAAATAGATCTCAAGAAAAAGATTGATCTGAAAGTATATGTATTCCTTCAGAAATGTTCAGTGTTGTCTATGAGTTCTGGCATTTCAGAGCTCTGTAACCGTACGAAACAGTATCCAGTCTCTTTCCTGAATGTTTCTTTCCAAAATATTTTGCACAACAGGGCAAAGCATATTTTGTAGTTCATGAACAGAGAAATATTGGAGAAGAATGGACCAAGACTCTGCCTAACTTCAGAAATAAAATGTTAAGAAATTTCATTTAAAAAAGCAGAAAATTTTCTAAGTTTGTTTTGAAAATCATAAATTCCTCCAAGGCTATTGTTCCATCCCCAGTTAAATCCTCTGGTTTCTTTCAGGTAGTCAGGTCTATCAGCATAGGTACCTCTGCCCATTCAGAATAGCATAATCTGATTTGTTGTCATAGTTTAACTTAATTTGGAGAAACGTTTGGAGAAGTTTGACAGCAGTGTGGAACTGCCTTAGGATATGAACAGTAGATCTCATTGAAGCTGGATATTCTTGGAATACATACAGACAACTTACCCAGCAGCTTAAGAACAGCACTCGTAACTACTGCATCTGGAGACTGTTTGGTGCCAGCAGGACTTTTGTTGTTGTTGACAGATACTGGCTCTTGCCAAATAAAGTAAAAGTTACTGTATTTATCTGGAGGAGAAAAGACGATACTTAAAACTTGCAGTAGTTTATTCAAAGAGTAAATCCTTGAAGATATTTAAGGAAAAGTCCAGCAGTGCCCCTAGGCTATCTACATACTAAAACAGACAGTAGGAAAAAGAGAAAATTGGTGCTTGGAGAGAGACAGAAACATTCTTTATAGCTTTCTTGCACTGCATTTATACACACAGTGCTCTGAGGTGTATTCTCATATAGTGGATGTTTACTTTTAAAAGTAACACCACAAGGAAAGGTGAGATAAGAGAAAAAGATCATGGGATGAAGAGCTTGCCATCTTCAGGTTTAGAGGTTGAACTTAAACACTATCTTTAAAACATTGGGAGAATGTTTGTTTAAAAACTTAGACAGTATTACAAGGTCCCTGAAGCTCTAAAAACAGAACTAAGCAAGAGATGTTTGTAGTGAAATACACAATGAGGCTGTTAACAGAAACTGACCAAAGGGCATGCACCTTTTCTTTTTCTTCTGTTTGTTTTTTTTTTTTTTCTGTTACTTACACAAGTACTGCAATCCTTGTACCTTGCTGCAAGCCTTTATCTGCTGCCTGTGTACGTGCAACACTGTATTTTAATTAGTCTCAAGATTTGAGACTTAGAAGGAATTGCAGAGGTCTCTAATTACCTTCACAAACTAGTCGTCTGCTCAAGAAAATGAGGAATGAGTAGGCATTAAGTAGTCAGAAGCCAGTATTCAAATCCAGAGAGAAGGAGGAAGAGTGGAAGGTTAAGAAGTGCAATTTTCACCGACTTTTCTGTGTCTTCAAAATTACTAAGGCAATCCTTCTTTAGTAAAAGTCACCAATTTTAGATATCAGGGGTTTATCAGTAATACCAGACTAGATATTTTACGATTTCTTTTCCCCCTCATGCCTGTGCAGTATTTTGGATATTTTTATTGTGAAAGTATTTTTTTTTAAGCATTGATAGCATTTCTTGAAGGACTGTTGGGATAAATAATGCTTGGTAAACATTATTTTTTTCTGTTCTAATTTAGGGGAAAAATAGAAACAGTGATTTAAATCATGGCCATTCACAAACTGGCCTTGACTGAGAAAAAAAAAAAAGCAACCAGAGGATTATCTCTTTAGCAACTTTTGAATCACAGCTGCATTATTGATATGAAGCTAAAAAGGCTTTGCAGATCTTTATATAATTAAACGCAACTGTTATTATGGAAATTTTTCATAACAGCTGTTGCACTGAAAGAAAGGTTACCTATTCTCTATCAGTAATCCCTTTAAATCTCTGACATGATTCATAGATTCTCAAACAATGCCTATAAATTAAACAAACTGGATACCTTCCATACATATATTTATTTATCATCTTTCACCCCATCAGCAAGTTAGGTAAGAACAGAATAACAGAACTCAAGTTAGCTCATGAAAGTAACATGGATGTTCTTTCTTATGAACTTCATTTCTATTTTTGTTTTCTGAAATACTTATTGTTTCATTGTGCTCAGAAGTGGTGTGAGATTCCTCGATGAAGCCATACAAGCCCTTGTTCAAAAACCTTACACTTGCTACTTAAATCTTGAACCATCAGTCAAGAGTAGCAGAAAAGAATGAGTTTGATAAAGGCTAGAGACAGATTTGAAACATGGCAAAAAGCTATAGCTCTAAATGAATTTCTTCCTTTCTTTGTGGATAGCATAACAGGTTTTTTCTTCTGGCTGAAAAGAAGCAGCCTATCAGAACTGCAGCTGAGGTTCTCATTTTATTCCTGGCTTGGAAAGAGGAGAAGGATCAGCCAGGATTTATTTTCTTTTCCCCTTAGGGCTAAGAAGCAGAAGGAAAGAAAACAAATGTCACTGTTAAAGTGTAGATGGCTTGCTAGGTTTCAGAGCGAAAGGTTGTGGAGTATTTTTATAGTGTATTTTGTAGCATTGAGAAAACTCAGAAACAGGAAAGTCTGGGCTTGTAAAGAAGCTCCTTTTTCAAAGCAAGTCCAGTGCCTGAATTTTTGGTCATTTTGAACCACAGCTCTGCAGGACAGAGTCTAGAGGAGAGTGGTTGATCACAGAAAGTGAGCCAGCTTCTTGCCCTTGTGGCAAAGACTGCCAGCTGCATTTGTTGCTGCATTAGAAAGAAGATAGCCATCATATCAAGGCAAATAATTACTTCTCTTGCATAGGCAGATGTGAAACTGTATCTATGTAGTTTTAAATTCTTCAGTAGAAGGTGACAAGCGCTGAAGCTCCTTTTTTTTCCTTTCTCTTCTGATACTGAAAAACTATTTTTTTTTTTAAGAGGTGCTGGCAGATCAACTATCAAAATAGGGTTGCTGATTCAATTGCTGTGGCAGTAAGAGGTGGGCTTCTGTGTAATAGAAATTTCTCACAATTTGTGGAGAGAGTGTTGCTTTGGCAGCCTCTGTTTTGAGATCCCTCACATTGACTTCATCAATGGTTAGAATTTTGTATTAATAAATACAAATTTAATGAGCATGGCCCATTTCAGGTTTAGGAGGAGTTACAGCAAAGGAAAAAATAAGCCATGTAAGAGAGTGAATAAAAGGGTAAGCATTATAGAAGGCTTTGGGGAATAGCACTTAGGAAAATGTTAATATTTACTACTATTAAGTAGAATCCAGTAAGAAAAAAAGGAGAACTTGTGATACAATGGAAAGCATAGCAATAACAGCAGAGCATCAAGGTCCTAGAACACAGTAAATGAAGACTTGCTCAAATGCAATAGCCATAGGTGCAGAAACAATAGAAAGAAACTAGTTTCCTTCAGAAGGCCTCAAGAAGGCAAAGATCTCCAGAAAGACACCTTTGGGAAATTCTTTACAGAGAAAGTGATGAGGTTCTGGAACAGGCTGCACAGAGAGGTTGTGGATGCCCCATCCCTGGAGGTGTTCAAGGCCAGATTGAATGGGGCCCTGGGCAGTCTGGTCTAGTATTAACTGGTCTAGTATTAAATGGGGAGGTTGGTGGCCCTGCATGTGGCAGGGGGGTTGGAGATTCATGATCCTTGAGGTCCCTTCCAACCCTGGCCATTCTGTGATTCTGTGTGATTCTGTGATTTGCCCCCACTGCCAGTCCTTGATTGAGGTCTGGGAAGGGGCGGATCCTGGCTCCACACCTTCCTATCACTCAGGTATATTGCATGTACCTGAGCTCCCCTGGCTTGGCCATGCCTTCTTAACAGGTGCTCAATCACTGGTTCAAGCTGGGACTTAGCATTTCTTCTACAGAACTCCATAAAATAAACCTAAGAAGTCTTATTTTATAGCTTTTTTTTTTTTTTTTTTTTCTTCCCCAAAGTGTGAAAGATCTTGCTTTTACTGTCTGGAGGCTGATTTACCATAGAGGAAACCTATATCATCAATTGCTAACTGGGGATTATAAGAAGAGCTGCAAACAACTAGTGGAAGAAAAAAAGAATCAAATACACCATATAGGTAAGAACATTACCTGTGCTTTTATCTGGGGAAAAAATTATCTTGAGAATCCTCCATCTATAGAAGACTGTACAAAGTAGTTAAGCTACTGCTGATTTTTGCCCTCAGAAATGCAGAGAAAGCTGACCTCTCATAAGTCACTTCCAGTCTAATATGTACTTGTTTGGGAGCACTTAAGAAAACATAGCTTACTTTCCTCTGGTAGTTGAAGTTTTTAAATCTTTTTTTACTTAGAGTTCGTATCTCAGGTAACTCAGCACTGCTTCTTTTCAGAAGGTGGGGATCTAGTTTTGTGAATTATAATCCAAAGCATTTAGCAAAGTCTAATTGCTGAACTATTTCTCAGGTGCTGAGAACCAAAAGATTTAGAGCCATTGTTTAAAACCTTATCAATATTTTCTGTTTTCTGACTTGCAGTGAGTAGCAAATAAAGTCAGTGAAGTTTTCTTATAATTGGTGTAATGTGCTCCCTGCGGTTAACACAACTAAGCAGGTGGGCAGCGTCCTTTTGTGTTAGCTGTATCTTCCAAACAAAATATATGATGAATTATGTTGTGAGGAGAAGTGTCTGCCAAGGCACCATGGGATTATTGTTTGAGCTGGTCTTAGTTAACATCTTCACTAATGATCTGGAAGAGGGACTAAGCAGACCATTAATTAAACTGTCAGATATTACACAGAAATAGTTTAGGGTCCTAGCTGGACTAGAAGATATGCAGACTAAAAGTAAAGGCTGCTAATAAGAAAATAAGAATAATTTGGGGGAAATACCAGTTTCTTTTTTCTTGGAGTGGCATCTGAATCATGAGCTTTGTATCACCTGCATGTTCAAACTCTTTGACTTTCAGTAAACATTCATCATTTTCAGAGGAGTAACAGTTACACAAGATAGAGTTTCCTTGCCTTTAGCTGCATGTTTTGGTTTCTTACCTGATCATCAAACTTGCTTGGTTATAAGATTTGCTGGAAATTATGTTTCTCGTTGTTGCTGTTGTGGTTTTTTGGTTTTTTTTTGTTGTTGTTTGTTTGTTTTTTTTCATTAATTATACTTTAATTCCTTTCTGATCTACTGTTGTATTGCCAGTTTCATGATTTTGATAAAGTTTCATATCAATCCATCCAATCACCAATATAGTCTAATTTCCCTTTTACATTTATTTTGAAAAGTAAAATGAAACTTGTTATTTATGTTTTATATGCCAATTTTTATGTAAGATTATTAAAGGTACACAGAAGTACAGCTATCAGCAGCAACTCTACAGATCAAGCATTTAAAATGATACAACATAGAATACAAATCTGCTTGGTGTTTATGAATTTGTGAACGTACTTCTTGTATAATATTCTGTATAGACTGTATATGTAGAGTGTATTCCCTGCTTGTGTCAGAGAGACAGAACTGCCCAGGCCACAGTGATCTGGGCTGTATGTTTTTCATTTGGAAAAGTCAGTTGTTTTTGTGAACTGGGAATAAACCCACACAGCGTAAGTTATGTTGGAAATAAGTTGTGTATCCGTAAGACACAGTATTACAGCTCTTGTGTGCTTGGAAGTCTTCTGTAGTTCTATTTATAAGCACAGAAAGCAGCTTATGATACAGCAGCGCTCTCAGGAGGAAGCTGGTAACATAGCAGAATCAGAATAAGGCAAGAAATAGAGAAGCATTCCTACAAGTGCATCTGTCAAACCATGGGATGCAGGAGAAAATGAGGAGGTGACAGGTTGGACAGAAAGAGAAATAGCATGATATGAAGTGAGTTAATGATGCCAGCAATTTTTAGCAGTTGAGAAGGTAAGGGTTGCAAAGGCAAGGTGGCACTTCATGATTTATGTGCAAGAGGCAGGCAAGATGATATTTTTTTAAAATGTATGTATTAAACCGCTAAGCTGAGTTCATATATGCAATTTCACTGCTGTCCAGGATAAACACTGTAATTAAAAAAAAAAATTAAAAAAAATCTGTGTTGTTGAACTTACCCAGTTTTTCAGTGATTTGCTATCACTTGTGATCCAGACTGAATGGGATGATTTGCTGTTTAGAAGTATTTATTGTTATTCAGAGGTTTTTTCTTATGCCACTTATATGCCAAAAAGGTCCATTAATTTCAATTACAATTACTTCCGATTTATCTTAATTAATGTAAAAAAGTTTAATTTGATTAAAAATACTTACTATAACGATATATGTTTTTAAGAGAAGATATTTGTCCTGACCCAAGATGCCTGTTTTCAGCCCAGTCTTAAGATACTGCGCTAGGTAGCAAGAATAAATCATGCCATGCAAGGTACCTGAATTATTCATAACCAAATTGAGCGGTGGTATTTTCTTTAGGAAAATCAGTGAAAATGGAAGGAGTAAACAATTAAAAAACAAAAAACAAACAAAAAAAACCCAACCAACCAAAACCTGCCATTTAACTCAAAATATTTTAAGAATCTGAATTCATATTTCCTTGGCGAGAGGTTTTCTAGTGTCTGATTGTTATTGTTTCAAAGTATTTTTGTAAAAATTCATGTACTTCAAATGCAGTCACATGTGCCATGTGTATTTTGTGTTTTTGTATTTTTGCAACTATTGTTGGGATGAAATATATGTTACAGACACAAACTATTATTAGCATTGTCATAGACTTGGAGACTCCTAAAAATAAATTTGAAAAAAAAAAAAACAACCAACAAATATGAGACAAGTAGATATTGGATATTATGTTTCCAAGCTTACTATTTCCAGCTACTTTATTTTTGCTCTGATGGGGGCTAATTGCAGTCCTAGCTGCTGAAGCTCTCACGTCTGGTGCTGAATTCTTATTCTGGAGCTCAGTTTTGGATGGATTTTGGAAACGTGCCTCAATAACACTTAAGGATGAAATATGAAGAATAGAAGTTATCTAGAAGGAATAGTGAATACTGAATAGTGCATTGTAGATTAGAGGTCATCTAAAAACAATGAATAACAGCTGTCAAAGGAAGCCTGCTGAAAATAGTAATAAATCATCTTGAAGCACAGCAGTAGAAATTTTCAATATGTTGGTCAGGTCAACTTATGTTACAGTGGTCACTGCTCGCTGCAAAGATAGTAGCTTATAAAAAGACAAAGACAATAAGATTTGCATTTGTCAGAATATGACTGATGTGCTGATGCAACCCTAATTATGTCATGAACACAAGAATGCTGTAATACAACTTTCTATTAAGGGACTCAGGGCTATAAATGTATTTACCAGCTGCTGTGTGGAAGGAAAATCTATTGCAAGAATTTGTTTTTTATAAGGCTACTGAAGAAGTGTTGATCATTGAATCAAATAATGAATTCTCATGATCGTTGCAATCTGGGCAGGCAAAGTATCATTTTGATGTAGGAAACATCTGTTAAAGAATTTCTCCTGAGTCTCATCAGTGGTTGGCAAATTTCATTGCTTTAGTAATGTTTTCATTATTGCTGTGTCTATAAAATGGCATGGCATGTTTTATAGCACTTTTTTCTGTTCTCAGTGCAGACTAAGAACAAGAATTTTAATTGCAACTTCTTGTTAGAAATAGAAACAACATGTAAGAAAAATCTTAGTGCTTTTATGTAGTATATCCTATACAAGAAATTTTGGTTTCTGTGCTAAAATAAATCACTGAGCATGAAAATAAGATATACATCTGTGGGCTACACACGTACCTCTGATTTAAATTTAAGACTTAGTTATTCTGTGTATGCAGAAGTAGCTAAGTCTTTTACTGTTCTTTTCTAGAAAAACACATACAATGATGCTGTCTGCTGCTAATACAATTATTACTTATGGTAGAGAGTTAAATGTATTAAATAAGTGCTTTACAGAATTCTGTCTTTTAACTTCATACATGTTATTTTTCAGATTTCTAAAATGGCTCTTTGCTCTTATATAACAAAAGAAAATAAATATATAAATTTACCTCATAACCTTCAACTTACATTCATTGCTTATTAGAAATTATGAGCAGTAGCAAAGAATGGCTTATTGTGCTTTAGAAACATGAATTTTATCTACTAATGACCCTGCTGTACGTCAGTATGTTCCCTGATAATTCCTTTTCTTTTTGACTACGTGAGGAATATTATCATCTCCATTTCTATGTTATGTTGTCCCTAATAGCCTTTCTGTAGAATCAGATCAAATGACTTTTGATTTTCTTGAACACAATCTCATGCTAAGCATACCTAGCATCTTAAGACAAAGTTCGTTACAGCTGTACAGAACTTGCCCTTACTAATGTGCTAATAGATGTACTAAACTTATTTAGGAATAATTATTTTAGTTAATGAATAGTGTATTCATATCTATCGTGTGTGCTTTTGCTGTTGCTGATCGTACTAGATTGCAACTGCAAGATCACCGATGTGTGCAGCTGACATGGCAAATGCAAGCAGCTGTCCACCTATAGTAGTGCATGAATTCTATAGGCAGGAAAATCACTTTGCTAAGTGCTTAACTTTTTCTTGTACTTACCCATGTACAAGTGGAAAAGCATTAGTGTTTACGTGGGAACCTTAACTGTAGCATTAAAGACATAAGTCCTGTGAAATATCTGAAAAATTTGTTCTAAATCTGAATTAAAATAACTGTGTTAGAGGAAAGTAATGATTAGGCTGTAGAAATTGTCAATATCATAAGAAAGAACAAACTTTAATTAAAAAAACAACAGCACAACACAGGTTTTGAAAGGTGTCATCTTTGGAGTTGGAGTATTTTCATATGACTTGTGAATTTTTCCCATTTATTGCTATCAAAGAGAAGGTGAAACAGCTTAGCTTCTGGACAATATGCAAGTCCTTTTCATCTAACTCCAAGCACCTGGCTCTCTTCAGAAAGAAAAACTATTCATCTGTCAGTCAGCAGCTTGAAACTGGCTATTCCCATGCACTGTTTGCCAGGTATGATTATATCAGTTGACAGAAAACATTATGTTCACTGCTAAATTATCACAGACTTCTAGGGAATAACCAGGATCACTAATTTTAAGTTAGTACTGTG